TAGTTTACCACTGAATTGTACCGAGCAGTTTTTATGTTTAAATCTCTATATGTACTATAATAAGAGGAAATTCTAGTTCATCCATTCCATTTTCTTGGAATTATAGGTACAGTAGCTCCTGCTGTACTCTCCAGAAAAAATATAGAAACAAATACTCCTTGCCTCAAGAGATAATTGGTGAGATTAAAGAAAGACTAGCATCTAATGGACCAAATTTAGCAGGAGTTAGTCATAAGTGTTCCCCTCTCATACTCTATTGTTGCTTCCCTGTGCACAGACATGGCAGGCCTTGAGCTCTTGGTTTCTACATGGCAATCAGACCTTGTAAACCTTGGCAAATGTCATTCACTGTTCTTTCTACTCCCAGATTCTCCAATGTAATGTGTAAGTTATCTTCAGTCAATTCAACTGGAGAAAATGAAAAACTCACCCTAGCTTAAAATTCATGCCTCATTTCTAACTTTAATCTTTATCAGGGAGCCCTTTATTCAGAGTCATTTTAGTGGACATTAATAAAGCTGATAAGCTGATTCAAAATAGGCCTTATTCTATGAGCTAGGACTCTGAAGGGAAAAAGGAATTCCTGACTTCCCAAACATAATCTCCCCAATTTGTTAGTGTTAGAAACTCCTTGTTCTCGATTTTTTTTTTTTTTTTTTTTTTTCTTTTTGAGACCAAGTCGCACTCTGTAGCCCAGGCTGGAGTGCAGTGGTGCGATCTCAGCTCACTGCAACCCCACCTCCCAGGCTCAAGTGATTCTCAAGCCTTAGCTTTCAGAGTACCTGGGATTAAGGGTGTGTGCCACTATGCCTGGCTAATTTTTGTATCTTTTAATAGAGATGGGGTTTCATCCTGTTAGCCAAGCTGGTCTTGAACTCCTGAGCTCAAGTGATCCAGGCACTTGAGCCTCCCAAAGTGCTCCAATTACGGGCGTGAGCCACCGCCCCAGGCCCTTTTATGTGTTTGTGGTTTATCTTTATGGTAAGGTACACTATCCAGCAATTTGCATGTTATTGTTTCATAGTTTGAAAAAGGAGATGCAGTCTGGGTCAAAAGCAATTGTAAAGACCTCAACTGCCTAATTTTACAGGTGTTCTTCCTAATGTTCCTCTAGTCACATAAAATATCTTCTTTCCATAAACTTGCCCCTTTCTGCTTAGCTTCTTTAACCTTTAACAAAAATTTCCTCTCCCTCAACAGTGTTTCATAGGCTTCTGTTTATCCATTTCATCCATTTGATCATTTTCTTTAGTTTTTCTTTACTTTCTTTTTTTTTTTTTTTTTTTTTTGAGACAAAGTCTCACTCTGTCATGCAGGCTGGAGTGCAGTGGCACGATCTCTGCTCACTACAATCTCCACCTCCCAGGTTCGAGTGATTCTCCTGCCTCAGCCACCCAAGTAGCTGGGATTACAGGCACCTGCCACCACGCCAGGCTAATTTTTTGTATTTTTAGTAGAGACAGGGTTTCACCATGTTGGCCAGGTTGGTCTCAACCTCCTGACCTCAGGTGATCCACCCATCTCGGCCTCCCAAAGTGTTGCGATCACAGGCGTGAGTCACCACACCCAGCCCATAAAGAACCATCTTTAATGGTTCTTTCTCCAGCTCAGGACTTTTCAATTCCTTCCCTGAGGCAAACTGCCAGATTATCTCAGTATTTCCAGTTGGGACTCAGGAAGTGGGAAATCTTAACAGCCCAGCTCATCCTTTCATGCCACGCCACATCATAGATCCCCAAAAGCCTGGGAAAGGACAAGGGCACAAGGTAAGTCAAGCGTCTGTCCCCAGGCCCGCCATCTCCATTTGGCCAACTCAACAACCGCTCAAAATTAACAAGTTGAATTCTTGATCCGCACCCCCCTCTTGATTGTCTTCACCATCTCAGCAACGTGTACCACCATCTGCCAAGTTGTTCAGCCTGATGTGGTATCCTCAGTTCCTCCTTTTCTCTCATCACCCCATGCAAGCACTCTCATCCATCAACTCTCATCAGTTCTTTCTCTAAAGATACGAAATCCATCTTCATTTCCATGAATACCACCTTAATCCAGGATACTGCTATTTCTTGTCTGGATTACGACGACCTTCTAACAGCTTCCTAACTACTTGTGGCACTTCCTTTTCTTTCCATTATTCAATTCATATTCTACACAGCAGAGGTAATGATCTTAAAATATAAATACAATCACATAGATCCCTCACTCAAAATCCTTCAGGAGCTTCCTATTTCTCTTAGAATAAGATCCAGTCTTTTCCCTCATCTGACACAGCTTTGGATGATCTGATTCCGGCTAATCTCTGAAACCTCATCTTGCAGTATTTTCTCCACACTCACAATGTTCCAGCCACACCTGCCTTGCTTCAGTGACTCAGGATCCCTGAGTTCTTTTCTGCCTCAGGGCCTTTGCATATGCCTCTGCTTGCTTGGTGTTCTCCTGCTCTCACTTGCTTTAGGTCCCGGCTGAAATGTGATTTCCTCAGAGAGGACTGGCCACTAACCAAAGGGAATCACCTCCAACTTGCAGCTCTTTATTTTATCCCCTTATATCTTCATATTTTTGCCCACGGCTCTACATTATTGGGGAGAAAACTATAAAAAAAAAACACACAAAAAAGCAAAAGCTAAAAAGAGAGGCACACACAAAAAACCATTAAAACGGAGGAAAAAAACAATAAATTAAGAGGAAATAGGCATGAAAGTACTAGCATTTATGAAAAAAATAAGTTCATAAAATTTTTAAATAAGTGTAAATGTTATACACCCCCAAAGCAAACATTCTTACTACTTATTTCTAAGTCTTGGATAATTTTTTCTAACTTCACCTTCAAGATAAGTCATCTTTCCTTGAATTCCAGTAAGTACAATATTCACTAGTGTAAGAATTTATCGAAATGAAGGCTCAAAATGAGTTAGAAACATTTGAAAAAGTCATTATAGCCCCTAAGAGAGTCTAATGCTTCTTTTCTCTAAGTTTGCATAGCAAGGATCTAAGACAAGTTTTAAAACAAAACAACACTCTTTTAAGGCCATGTGTACATGAGGCATCATTTCTCCACAATAGCCTGGCCCTCTCGCCTCCCTTTGTCCTCCGCAATGCCTCTTTGTAAATCACAGGTGTTTGTGGGCATAAAGCCCATCAGAAGGGAGTTTATTGTGAAGAGTTCTTTCTTTGCCACTTGTTCTAAACCTGTTCAGAGAGTGCTCCATGCCTGAGACCAAATCTCCATAAAAATCAAGAAACAAGAAGTTTTCTGTATGCCTGCCCAACAGCCACACTATGACATTAGTTTCGACAGCTCTGTGACCCCGTATTGTCCCAACTTTATTCACTAGTCTCTTTTTCTCTCTCTGCACTCCTTCTTTTAAGCTTTTATTGGCATTTTCTATCTACTGTAAAATAAAAAGAAGGAGGATGGGTCTTGTTTTTTTTTTTTTTAAGTACTCTATGTGGCAGATAAAGAAAACACTATCTGCAGTTACTGTAGTAATGGTTTCAAAAAACACCTGCAAATCAAAGAAAGACACCACGGCAGTGTCTTCAGAATTTTTTTCTTCTCTTAAAGTTCCTTCTTGGCCATTATAGAGTAGGCCCGGCAATGAATTTATGTGACAGCTATGAAGTTAGTATTAAAATTGTGAATAGTGCCTAGCAGTTTTCATGCCCTTAGTATAAGATCGCCTCAATTTGCCACACAGCGGTGAATAGGGTAAAGAAGGGAGGGGGGTGTCGAATGAATGAGAGGAGGAGGTTATGTGAATGGGAGGGTTTCCCGGGAGGGGGCAGCACAGTTGTCAAGGGGAGAAGAGTGATTTATTTTTGAAATTCCAGAAAGGAAGACCAAAAGAAGTTGCCTAAAAGATCCTGAAGCGCGGGGGTGGGGGGGGTGGGGTGGGGGTGAGATAAATAATATGTCTACACACATTTAGCAAGTGTCAAGGCCAGCTCTAGAGGTAGGGACGGGGTGGGGGCGGCGGTGGTAAATCCATTCCTCTGGTCTTCCAAGATTCAATATTAAATGCCAGCAGGGAGCAGATGTGGGCAGGGGCTGCAGAATAGGGGTAAGGAGCGCGGAAGGAGGGGTTAAGCGTTTATCTCAATAGAAATTAACCACTTGGGGAGAATTAGGAACGAGCTGCAGCGGGCGGGGGAAGTGGGGGGAGAAGCGGGACAGGGAGAGTGTCTCTGGTGTAAAGAAAGAAACTTTCCTGGTGCGGAGATCTGGGCAGGGCATTCAGTAAAATGAGGTGAGCAAGGCTGCAAAGAGCAAGGCGGGGCGCGCCCTCCACCGCCCCCCGCCGCTCCGCCCGGCCCCTCCCCTGTCCGGCCCCTCCTCACACCCCTCCCCCTGTCCATATTAGCATGCGGGCGGCTGCGGGCCGGCCGGGCAGGGAGGGCGGCGGTGGCAACGCCGCGCGGGGCGCATTGTGGGCCGCGCTCGCCTCCGCGGGGGACCATCTGCTCGCTGTCAATGCATCACCTGCTCGTCTGGGCCGTCGCCTGGGCAACCGGGGGCGGGGGATTAAGGAGCGTGTGCGTCTCGGTCTGGGCCGAGGCGGCGGGGTGGGGGTTGGGGCGGGGCGAAGCGCGCCTCGGCCCTTCATCCCCCTGCCCCAGGACGGGTCGGCCAGCTCAAGGGGGCGGCGACCACCGCGGCTCTGCCGCTCGCTGCCGCTCCTCCGCCTTTGCTCCCCGGCCGCCTGTTCTCGCGGGAGCGGCTGGAGTCTCGGGGAGGAGCAGACAGCAAAGGGTCCGACCTTGCCTCACCCCGCCGGGAGGCGAGTCCCGCGCTCCCCGCGTCTACCTGGAGCTGCGAGGGCCCTGTCCCGACGCGCCGCGCGCAGCCTCCTCCGAGGGAGCTGGCGCATTCTGCCGGGTTCTGGGGACGCGGCGCGGCGCGGTTCTGAGTGCCCCGCGGTCGCCAGGCAACCACAATGGGGCCGCCTCGCCGCCAGACCCTCCCCCGCGCCTGCCACCAAAGCCACAGAAAACTTTCACACCTCGCGTCTGACACTGTGGCCTGTCCGCGGAGCCAAGCGCTAGGGAACTCTTCGACGTCAGAATACGGGTGGCGCCTGTTCTTCGGGGGGCTGGCAGGGGGAGCCCAGTGCTTATCAAAACGGGTTGATTTTCCACGGAACTACGGAGGGGTAGTTCTGGAGGTAATAGACCCCAGAAATCCTGAAATTCCCCTTCCACCTACTGGTCGTCATGAAATTCTATACCATTTTCGATAGAGAAGCCCATCCAGGAGTAATGCAAGCCAACAGCAGGGGGCGGAGCGAGGCTGTAGATGGGGACGGTGGCCATTTGGGGACACGTTTAATCCAAAGTCATGCCCTCTGGTTTAGAAACTTCAGAGCAATTTTTTCTCTGCTCTTCCCCATCTCTATCCCCGACTGGTCAAGGACATTTAGCTGCTCCAACAAAAGTCGTTCTAATGTTCTCTAGGAGTCTACACGGCTCAACAATGGGAATGCTTAATACCCCCACACCCTGCCCATAAGCTGTCCATAGACTGCACAGAACCGAAGAGTTGTTGAGGTTTCATCACAACCCGTAATATATAAATATTTTTTCTGGGCTAGCTAAATTACTGGACACTCTTCTGCAGAATCACAGGTTCAGCAGAAAATGGACACCCTACCCCGCAAACCCACATCTAAAATGTCTCTAGCCAGGAAAAAACCCAGCTTGTTTTTAAAGACTCTGAGTCTTGTTACGTCTCATTAAAAGGTCTGGCAACTCTTGGGAAACCAACAGTCTTCTCTGACTTAGCAACTCAAACCCATTTTCTGCATTTCTTTAAAAAAAATTGTAAGTTTGTGATATGGACCCTATGTTCATCTTTTCCAGCTAAAATCTCGTGATCAAATAGAATTTCTCTCGTCCTTTTATAATTTCTAAATATGAACACCATGAATCAGGCTAATTTTATGATTAAAATGCATTTTTTTAAATTTTCTATGATCAAACAGAAAATACATTTCCACTAATGTATCATTTCTTTTCTCATTCATATGCAAGAGAGAAAAGTTAACTATCAAAATATCCATGGCTTTAACATAATAGACGAAGGGGAAAATGTTTGTATGTATAAACTTGCTCCAAAGATAAAATTCTACCCACCCCTTTACTTTAATTATGACTTCCGTAAATTAAAGTTGAGAGTTCTGAGATGTGCCCTTTTATCTACAAGGTACTCCTAAATACATAGAGTCATGGCATCATTCCAATTTAGAGAAGGGATGAGCTTGAGTCCAACGCTCCTGTCTATAGATAAGGGAGCGAGCCCCAAAATAGTGACTGGCCCAAAACTGTACTGCTAGTGGCTAGGGATGCCCAGTGCTCTCTTACCCTCAATAACATCACAGAGGTGCAGCTTTGCACGCCAACAGCACCTGAAAATGCCCTTGTCTACTCAGTTACCACTCCTACAGCCACTTGCTTCACTACAGAAACAAGAACTCTTCATCAATTTCAGCAAATAATCCTTGCGTACCTACCATGTGTCAGGCAAAATAGAAAAAGATCCCCATCCCTGTAGAGCTCACTCTTTAGTGATGCACACAAATTTAAAAAGAAAGAAAAGTCCAGGCGCAGTGACTCACACCTGTAATCCCAGCACTTTGGGAGGCCGAGGCAGTGGATCACAAGGTCAGGAGATCAAGATAATCCTGGCTAACACGGTGAAGCCCTGTCTCTACTAAAAAATATATAAAAAATTAGCTGGTCTTGGTGGCACGTGTCTGTAATCCCAGCTACTCAGGAGGTTGAGGCAAGAGAATCACTTGAACCTGGGAGGCAGAGGTTGCAGTGAGCACAGATTGCATCACTGCACTCCAGCCTGGGCAACAGAGGCTCTGTCTCATAAAAAAAGAAAAACATAAAAAAACAAAATTCACTTATTGAACATCTAATCAGCTACTATGAGAGGGAAAAATATATTCACAAATAAGATATGGATATCAACCTTAAAAGGAGAATCAGAGCAATATAATCAAATAGAAAATAATGCCAATGTGACAAAGTATCATGAAATACAAAGGAGGCATCAGGTAATTTTGCCTGGGCAATGTCATAGAAAAGATGTCACAAGTTTGGCTATATAATAGTAGTCCCTGGCACCGAAACAGGGTATGGCACATAGCAGATGCTCAATAAATAGTTGTTGAATAAATGCACAAATGAATGAACAAATGAATAATGTATTTCCAGGTAGGCAAAAGGAGGAAGATATTCCAGGCAAAGATATCATAGTATATGAAAATGTGGTACATATATACAGTGGGATATTACTCAGACAAAAAATAAGAAGAAGAAAATCTCCCCACTTGTGACAACGTGAATGAGCCTAAAGGACATAAGTTTAAATAAACCAGTCACAGAAGGACAAATACTGCATAATCTCACTTATATATGGAACATAAAGAAGTCTAACTCACCCAAATGCCCATCAATGATAGACTGAATAAAGAAAATATGGCATATATACACCATGGAATACTGTGCAGCCATAAAAAGAAATGAGATCATGGCCTTTGCAGGTACATGAATGGAGCTGGAAGTCATTATCCTCAGCAAACTAACACTAGAACAGAAAACCAAACACTGCATGTTCTCACAAGTGGAAGTTGAGCAATCAGAACACATGGACACAGAAGGAAACGACATGCACTGGGGCCTGTTGTGTGGTGGGGTAGGGGAAGCAAGAGCATAAGGAAAAATAGCTAATGCATGTGGGGCTTAATACCTAGGTGACGGGTTGATGGATGCAGCAAACCACCATGGCACACGTTTACCTATGTAACCAACCTGCACATCCTGCACATGTACCCTAGAATTTAAAATAAAAATAAAACTTTTTTTAAAAAGTCTAACTCACATGAGCAGAGTAGAATGGTGTTTGCTCGAGGATGGGGAGCGAGGAAGATGGGGAGGGAGGGAAATGGGGAAATGTTAGTCAAAAAGTGTAAACCTTCAGTTATAAAATGAGCAAGTTCTGTTGATCTAATATACATCATGGTGACTAAAATTAACAGTGCTGTATTACATACTTGAAATATGCTAAGACAGTTCTCACCACCACACACCAAAAATGCTAATTATACGAGGTGATGGATATCCACACTAGCTTGATCGTGGTCATCATTTTACAATGTAGACATATATCAAATCATTACATCATACACCTTAAATTTATACAGTTTTTATTTGTCAATTATACCACACCAAATCTGGGGAACATTTTTTTGAGGAAAGATATCACAGTACGAACAAAGGTTTAGGGACATCTGTATTTAAGGAGTGATGAGTGAGCCATTAACTGTGAGCAAAACAAAATAATGGAGAAGATTTGGAAAATGGCATGCTGGCTTGGAGGCACGTTGAGAAGGGATTTGACTACCACGGCAAGAGTGTGAATTTTGTCCTGAGAACCAATAGCTTTTCAGCAGCAGCACACTTGTTTTAAGCAGCATCTTGCAAGAAACTCAAATAGGTTAAAATTGATCCATATAGGGCTGTCCTAATAGAAGCAGGGGTAGGCCCCCTGCCCATAATCTCACCATCCAGGGATGGCTGGGCACTCTATAATACCCACTGAAACACTGTTTGAACATCAGTACAACTGGCAATGAGTCATCTTTGAACATTGTAAGACATAAGAATGTGAGTTTGGAAGGAAAGGGGAAGTCAGGAAGAGCAGTTAGAATGCTATTGAAATTGTCCAAGCACAAAATAATGAGAACTTAAATTAGATCAGTAACATTCACAGTGAAATGGAAAATAAAGAGATTTTGAAAATAGAATCCTTAATATACATGGTCTTCCTGCTTCAGAGAACATAATTTTACCTCTGGTACATCTAAGTTTGGATATTTTTTAAAATGACAATATATTACAAACTTCAGCATTTTAACTGTTACTGTGGCTAACACATTCTCACACTTGCAAAAGTTTAGAAAAAACACAAATTCCTTTGCAGCAAACTGCTTAAATGATGGCTCACGTGTCAGAGTATAGATCTTGGGATCCTAAGAGAAGCCAATGGAAGATATAGAAAGATAGCAAAAAGAGTAGCATGTTTGAAAGATACCTCATAGTCCTTCCATTTACTAACCAGGCATACAAATTATTGAGCAATGATCAAAGCCATCATGACCCTTTCTCCACACTCTTTCAAATGTAAGCATTGGAGTGTTTCCCTTAAAAGTTACATAAAATTATTCACTGCCCACTTACAATTAGATACAATTGCCCATTAAAAGCTCCCCACTCCCTGCCCCTGGTAGAAGGCTTATGACTTAAGGAATGCAGGACACTCCTGGATTGGGTAAAACAAAGATATACAAACAAATAAGCTAAGAGGCAGCAAAAGAGAATTGGGAAGCCAGAGAAATTCACATGATGAAGATACCTGGCATTTAGCCCGAAGTGAAAACTATAAATATTAATTAGATGAGAATCAGTGTCACTTTACAGCAAGAATGTTCTTTAATTAAAAGGGTGGGTATTGTGTTGTGCATGTTAGCACAATTGCCACCAAAAATATTGGATGCCAGGGGCTCCCGAGTACTGGAAAGGGACTAGATTCCTAAGGATGCCACTTAGCAGAAAATTTGCTAAATATCAACTGTTTATGTCGAATTCAAATGATACTGCAAAGTAAAGGAAGAAGAAATATCAGGGTTTCAAAATTGTGTTCCTGTCTTTAAAAGACAGGAAAAGAAATCTTCCTTGGACATCTATTACTTGGTAGGCACTTTCCAGACATTATGTCTACCTCAATTTTGCAGAAAAGGTGTCATCATAATCACATTTCAAAGACGAAGCTGTTCCAAAGTTGGCTTTGTCATCCAAGGTGTGGCTGTGGTTGAGCATGTCTGAAGTAGAGCAGACATGACATGTCCCTGAAGTTGATAAAGTCACAAGATTGTGAGACTGCAATGCTTCCTGGATCATCCCTGTGGGCCAATGGGCCTTGGAGTGGATGAAAGGGCAGGGAGGGAGATACCAATGCTTTCATTTAGGTAAATCAGCAGTAAATCTACTCAGTAGTCAGACAAAGGAGGTTTGGGCAACATAGTGGGAGTGTCAAAAAAACGTAGGATGATTGAAGATCAGAGTAGCAATGGTTGGAAGAGGCAAAAGGAGACCAAAGCATGCTGTTCCCTTCCTTTCTTTCCTCTGTTCTTAGACATAGGCATGAGAGAGGATGAACAACCCCCACTACTGAAGGGGGAAAAATGATAAAT